AAAAAAATGAAGCAAAAAAATTTTAAATCAAAGGTGCAAACCCTTGTTCTGAGGGTTAATTCATTTTTTTTCAAAAATTTATGCAAGTGTTCCAATTAAAGCGCTTTTTCAATTTCGGCAACTCTCCCCTATTAGTCGATTTTAGTCGAATTTAGAAAATATATTAGTCAATTTGGTCATTTCTCAGTTAGTCGAATTATTTAATAGTCGTAACAACATTAATTTATTTATAATTTTTTTTTTTTTTAATAGTAATAGAATTAATAATAAATTAAAACGAATTTATTATTTTTATAGATAAAATATACATATGTAACTATTTTTTAACTATTTTTAAAAAGAGATTTTGAGGGAGCAGAGAACATGCAAATTTTAATTGCCTAAACAAATCTTTTTTTTGTTGTTGTTGCAAAAGGTACAACCCCAGAACGAGCACGTTCAGATTCTACATTGGTAGGTTTAACAGTCATTTTAAAATATTACCCTCTTTGTGAAAAACACTATGTGTTTCTAGGTTTTCAAACAATCGGAATCTGAAGTTCAACTCATTCATTTGCAACATACTTCTTCTGGATATCTTTTTTTGTTAGTGGTCAACATTAACCCTGAAGCACGCTAGCAATTAAAGATATCAGACATGTTTTAATTTAAAAAATCTGCAGTTTAACATTTAAAAAAGTTTAATAGTTAAATCTTTTTTAACTAGTCAATACATTGGTATAACGCCAAATATGTTTCTAGAAGACTCAAAAAATAATTACTTAGTACTACTAAGGCATGCTATCGGAAAAATCTCCCCACTTTTCGTGATCAAAAAAGGATGTAAGAAAGCTTAAATGTATTTAAATCAATATATTTCTGAAAAATTAAGACTGTAAAGATTACATATTATTAGGGAAAAAACAAAAAAAAATTAAGTTTTACAGAAAATTCTGACTTTCTTTTTGATGCCTCCCATAAGATTCTAGACAGAGTGATTTTTGTAAGTTTTAGCAGCGTAATCCCATTTTTTATTCAAATCTGTAGCTGATTTTACTGTTTTTCCACTTAATTTCAATTTCTTTTTTATGATGGCCCAATATTTTTCAATAGGACGTAATTCGGGGCAGTTTGGAGAACTCCTCTTTTTTGGAACAAACATCAATCCATTATCATCGTAAAACATTTGAGCATCTTTTGAGTAATGTATTGTGGCTAAATCAGGCCAAAACAATACTGAAGTAATTCTATGAGCTTTAATTAGTCATTTTATACGAGAAAGACAACATTTCACGTATTTCGAAGATTTCATTGTGCCCAAACAAAAATGAATTGGCGATTTTTTGCCGCAAGAGCAAAGTGCCTGCCAAATCATTAATTTTTTCGAAAATTTATCAGTCATTACATACTTGTATATATCACTCACATTTCCTCTTATTTTAGAAGCATAGTAGCACTGCCCAGGAATTTGTTTAAAATTCAGTTTCGTCATCCATCAAAATGCATCCATTATGTTTTGTTAACAAGTTGTCATACAACTTTCGAGCTCGACTCTTTGCGGTTGAATTTTGTTTATCGTTGCAATTTGGCATTTTAACTACTTTAAAACCCTGATATCCAAGTCTCTGTTGCCATTTGTGTACAAAAAAATTGGAAACCTTCAGTTTTTTTGCTCGAAATCTATCAGACCAATCAGGATGATCATCCAATGAAGTCTCCAACCGTTCGAGAGCTCTAGGATTTGATGTGCGTTTTTTTCGACAACTTCCTTGTTTTCTCTGAATAGTTTTCTGTTCTGTAAACCGTTTAAGAACAGTATCTACAGTTCTTCTTGATAATTTTAATGATTCCGTCAACTTTCTATTTAATAAGGTTGGATTTTTTAAGTGTTTGTTCACAATCAAAAATCTTTGTTTAGTTTGCTCGGTTGACATTTTGAAACTAAATAATATTTTTAATTATTTTTTTCTGCCAAAATGTTCTATTATACAAACACTACCACACACAAAAAAATAATTTCAAAAAACGACTGTTAACTAGCTTTACCACACCGCAAAAGGTGGGCAGATTTTTCCGATAGCGTGCCTTAGTTGGTAGAGTGAGAACTAATTAGTAGAGTGTCAGAATTGGAAAGTGAAGACATTAAAACTTTTCTCAAATTGATAAACTCATTTTAACACTCATATCACATTCAACAGTTTAAAACTAAATAAGTTTTTTTACTAACAAAAAAGGTAAAATTAAAAAAGAAAGACATAACAAGCACCGTTTCAGATTGAAGTTGATTGTTCAATAATAAGAAGTATATATTGACAGAGGTAATAAAGCTTATACAAGATTTTATAGCTTTAAGTATAAAAGAAGGTAGGTGATTGAGATAAAAGTATTACGATTTTTGGTGATGGAAAACAAAGTGAAAAGAAAAATCATAAAATTTTTCAGAATTTTTTTTTTACTGTATTATACTTTTTATATTATTTTTAAAAAATATTTTTACCTAATCTTATTTTTTTAATTTTAATTTTTATTTATTTTCATATTATATTTTTATTGTTTATTAATGTTTCAGTGCAGCGGCGTATACATACATAGACTGATTAGGGATAGCATGCAGGGAGTGTACATACACTTACTGATGGTGTTGGCTGGGATAGGGATAGAGATAGATGCAGCAAAGTATATTTCGACTGATTAGGGAGAGCAAGCGAGGAGTGTATATACATCCACTGTGGGTTTTGGTAGGAGCAGTAGCCTATTAAGTTAAATAAAATAAATTAAAATAACTTTAATGCTATTTTCTGGTCTTTTATTTAAACTTAAAATAAAAAAGCCTAATGTGCAATTAACCAACACAATATATGCATGCATTTACTATTTTTTAACTAGTAATAATATTTTAATTTATCTTTTGCATAGTGAGCAAACAGAACATTTGTTTTTTTCTTCATTCCTATTCAAATTGCATTTTATTTATCTTGTAATGACGATAATCTTCTAGTGTTTAAACCAAGTTTTACTTAATTTTGGTCAACTGAAATATCTAATTTAAAGGCTCAACTTTGTTTTCTTGAGAGTTACAGAAATACTAAAGTACTCTGTTGAAAGAATTTGATTTACTTTAAAATTTGTTGGAGTATGCAACATTCTGAGTTGAATTTTCAGAACACGGTATTTATTAGTGACTTTATTTGACAATATTTTTTATACATACTTTTAATTCTATACTTCATATATAATATATAATTTGGGGTAGGTGAAGGATTCTGTAGCAAAACGAGCCACTAGGTAAATATATCACTGAGGAGAAGGAAAACTATTATATAAAATTCGTACAATAATGTTGTGTGCTTATGTGGTAACGATTGCAATATTTGAAAAATGCTTTATTTTTCTTTCAAAATTAGTGCGAGCATTTTAAATCGACATTTAATGTAGTTTTTGTAGGTCAGCTATTTAAAGCAACTTGTTGGTCACTTTTGTACCTAGTTAGTTAATGTATGAAACATGTGCTAATATAAGAAGAAGATGTAAAACAAAGGAAACAAATTGTTTAATCAGAATTTATGAAGGTGATTCCAGGTATGTCTTTCTCTAATATTAAGATGTATATATGAAATTTATATGAATATACATTTATTTTTTTAACTTGAATATTTGAATTTTCTTTTTTTAATTATTCTTATTGTTGCCTTTTTTGGTATTTACTTTTTTTTCAAATCCTTATATATCTTTTAGCAATCAGAGTATAACTTTTTTTAATTTTTTCTAGCAGAAAATTCATTTGTTTTGTATGAAAAAATACAGATATAACAAATTTGATGAATGAAAAATTAAAAGGCAACCCAGTGGGCACCAGTCCTAAAAAAGACTTCTTTTGAACATTCAAAAGGCGTCAAAAACTTTAAAAAGACGTCCAAAACCTGTATAAGACATTTAAAAGACGTCATTTTTACGTCCGTGCCCACTAACCGAATTACTTTTTTCATTTGTTTATATTTTTTATTGTATGTAGGATTGTTTTCTTAGAATTATTTAATGATGCTTTAGATCTAAGCAAACAAACAGCAACATTAGAAAATCTACTTGTTAAAGTAGAGTGTGATTCAACAAATAAGATTAAAAAGTTTCATAATTATTATTTAAGATTTTGTTTATTTCTTTATAGCTGAATTTGGTGTTGCTAGCTATTATGGGAGAAAATATCGACTGACTCATGAAATAAAATTTGAAGCGTGCTCTTCTTTAGTAAGAAGCAGATCTATAATTTTGAACCTTTTACTTATTCGATGTAAGGATGATGTTTGGACGAAAATACAGCATTTATTACAAATATAAAAATGTTTATGTCAAGAACTAATTTACTGACTAATGAAACCATGTAATTTAATACGTATGAAATATTTCCTCGACGTTGAATTTTTCTTCTTTAAACGATTTCAAAAGCTCGCAACTATAAAGCAATAAGGAAATAGCAATAAAGAAGTATTTTTAATGCCTTTGAAATTCATGGGCACCAAAAGGTAACGCAAATATTACATGCCAAAAGTAATGGGAAAAGCACGTCAATAAATCACGTCTTTAAGTCATTTCATGTGAACTAAAAAGTCACTTAAATGTTGCGAGCGAAAAGTAACATGAAATACACGTTTTTATCATGTTGCTGTGCCTGCTAGATGTAAGCTATTATTCGTTATAGACTTTTTATTATAGACCTTATTTGCTAAAAAAAGGTTTCACCCATTTTAACTGAATACAAAAAAAAAAACTAAAGAAATTGCCTTAAATAGCATTCTTGGCAACAATTATTTAAACTTCACAAAAAATAAAATTTATTATTAGACTGATTCAGTTCAGCCAGTGGTCACCAAAGTTATAGAGGTAACCAAGTGTTACCGAAGTTTATAGAGGTAACAAATAAATCTTTAACTTCTAAACAACTTCTTTGTAAAAATCGTTTCTGAAAAACAATAAGCATTCTATCATTGACTCCTAATATACATATTTTCAATTTACTCTACAATTATTAATAATACTTGAATAAAAGTTGAAAGAATGCCATTTATCAAACAACAAAAATATGTTAATAGCATTGTTTAAAGAAAACTGTTGGTTATACACTTTCACAAGCTTCTTCAAATATTAATAAAGATTTCAATTCTTTAAGTTTTTATCCAGAAAACTAAAATCTTCTTCAAATAAGAATTAAAGAAAAAATCTCATCAAAAATAGAAAAAAAAAAGCGGAATGAAAAAAAATCTTTAAAACTTTTTAGGTTTCATAAGCCTTTCAAACATTATCCGCTGATTAAGCAATATTTTGTACCATAAAATACCATGCAAAATTTAAAATTTTGTTTTTGATTTAGATCTAATATATCGCTCAAAAAATACTTCTAAAGTTTGTCTATGCACAATACTATTCTTTGAAATAAGTTTTTTTAAACCACACAACTTATATCACGTGCATCTGATGAGATCACTAACTGGGTTGCCTAGTCTTGACATAAATTTATCGCAAACTGGACTGCAGCAATAGTTTCCAACTGTATAAATAAATGAACGATCAACAATAAAAAATCCAGTAAGAAAAAATACATTTTTCTATTTTAAAAACAACAAGCGTAACGCTTGTGATAATAGCAAATACAGAAAAATACATATAATTAAAATACAGTAGAATCCCGTTAAGTTTACGAATTAAGTGAAGCTTTTCGTGTGTGTAGGGAATTCAAATGGGATTTAAAACTTGTCCGACTTAGTAAAAGTCCGACTTAGTAAAAGTCCGACAAAGTAAAAGTCCGACTTAGTAAAAGTCCGACTTAGTAAAAGACTTATCCTAGGTCTGAGTTTACGGGATTCTACTGTGATAATGACAGAAACAAAATAATATTTTTATAACTAACTTAACTTACTTTTATCGTTTAAAGCTGAAACCTTTTCGTTTTCAACTTCTTTTTTTACCGTTGTATTAAAAATATTCTCAATAAAACTGGTAACGAGGTATTCAATATCTAAAAAAAGGCCGTTATAAGGTTATAAATACTCTGTATTTTTATGATATACGATTACACACACACACACACACACACACACACACACACACACACACACACACACACAGAGACACACACACTCACACACATACGCATACGCGCGCGCACAGATGAGTGTGTCCGATAAATCTAAATCTAAATTCTAAATCTTAAGAATAATACAACTTTTTATTTATTATTCAATATTTTAAAAATTAGTCGGACATTCTGGCAGTAATTTTTAAAATATTTAATTTTAAAACTTGATTTTCTTGGCTCTCTTCCATGACGATATGTTGACGATTGTTTTTAATGAGTATGCTTTTAGTCGTCTTAAATAAGCGTAAGCCATATGCTTTATGTAAGAATTTAAACTATAAATAATTTCTAAAAGGAAAAACTAAAATAGTTAGCGATTGTAATGGTAATATCGTCTGCGATAGAGCCTAATTTTTTAATAGAGTTTCAAAGAATTTTAGAATTTAGCGCCAACGTCACTGCTTTAACTGCTATTTGCTTCAAAAAACTGTTTACTGTTTTAAAATATTTATAATTGTTTTTTAAACAATAAAAAGTATTACTTAAAGCGTCCGAACTTAAGAGACGGTATTCGAAATTCGTCGAAAATGATAATCTTATTATACATAAAACATCGTGCATTATTTTTTATTTATTTTATTTGCTTAAAGAACATAGTTTAGGTAAAATAGGTAAAAAATAAAAATAGGCTATTTATAAATAAAAACTATTTTTATAAATGATATTGAAATGTGATTTGTTTTACATGAAATATTAAGTTTGTTTAAAGCTTCATGACCATTCTTTGGGAATATTATGCAAATTGTTTTTTTATCCCTAATATTCTAGTTGATTATTAATATTTCTATTTGATATTAAACTTTTTTACATATTTGTTATAAGTTTTAGTATAACACTTGTCAACTAAAATTTTGTTGTTTTTTTATTTATATATTGTGGTTGCCTAGTTTTATTAATTATTAATATTGTGGTTGTTTAGCTTTATTATATTTTTGTGGCCTCTACATGAAAGCCGTAAACCAAGATCTGCAGAAAAAAAAGGTTTTTCCAATAAAATGAACTATAACCCAACGCCACGGACCAAGTTAATTGAGTTCAAGAAGAACTGAAAAATAACTAAAAAAAAGTTTGGGGTAATCGAGTTTAAAAGATACCACGAAGAAAAAATAAAAACCGGTTTTAAAAAACACAAAAACTAAGAAAACTTTCTCATCCTTTTGGACTTAAAGTTTCCAGTATGTCTTTTTCCGTAAATTTTTTTTAATAAATTAAGTTTCCTTCACTAAACAATAAAAATAAAAAAATTAATGTCTGGGAATCAATTAACATCAATAAATAAACAAACAAGAATTACTTTATTTAATTATATACTTTATTTGCTGCAATAAGTTAAAGATATTTATACGCGATAAAATAATAAATTAATCTAAGAAAAGTTTAACTTGCATAATTTTTATATACTTTTTTTTATAAATAAAAGTTAGAGTCGCGCAAAAATTTAACTGACCAATCAGAGGTTATGAGCTCCTGCAATCATATTTAAAATTTTTCTATTTAATTAACGTAATCTTGTATAGTATTTTGTTTCGCCAAGTCTGTTAAAAAACCGCACAATCTTTGGTAAATATCTTTACCGGTAAATCTTTATCAATAACTATTAATTAAAAAAAAAAGTACCTTGGTTTTGTTTTAAAATGCATTGAAAAGAATCAGAACTCATCCTCAGTTTGCTCAATAAGTGTTTGACGGTAGGGAGTTGACAGAGATCATTTTTACCTAAAAATTGTTTAATTTTTTTATGGCATTTAGTGAAAGCACAAGTTTACCAATGTAATAAATATTTTGCTGACTCGACAGTATATTGACTTTATTTAATGTGCTTTATGGTATGGATAATTTGTAGTGCAAAATATATTGATTTAGTAAATTTAAATTAATAAAGCCATATTTTATAAAATATTACATTAGATGTTTTATTATTTTAACAAATACGTTTTTTGAATCAGAGGATTGGCTATATAAAAAGTCAAATGATAATTCACTTGGCAAATATGTTGGTAGTAATAGTAGTAGTAGTAGTAGTAGTAGTAGTAGTAGTAGTAGTAGTAGTAGTAGTAGTAGTAGTAGTAGTAGTAGTATTAGTAGTAGTAGTAGTAGTAGTAGTAGTAGTAGTAGTAGTAGTAGTAGTAGTAGTAGTAGTAGTAGTAGTAGTAGTAGTAGTAGTAGTAGTAGTAGTAATAGTAGTATATAAATATATAGTAATATAAAGTATATATATATATATATATATATATATATATATATATATATATATATATATATATATATATATATATATATATATATATATATATATATATATATATATATATATATATATATATATATATATATATATAGAGAGAGAGAGAGAGAGAGAGAGAGAGAGAGAGAGAGATATAGTTATAGATATAGATATAGATATAGATATAGATATAGATATATAGATATATAGGTATATAGATTTTAAAAAATGAGAAAATAGAAGACGGATATTTACACCTTTTTGCATACATAGATAAGTAGATATATAAGTAAAAAGATACATAGATACAGAGATAGGTATATAGATAGAGATAGAAAAAAAGGTATATAGATAGAGATAGAAAAAAAGAAGATGGATAGTTACAAGTTTTTGTACATTTTATAATATTTTACCAATATTATATGGTTGAGTAAAATAGAAAAACTGTAAATGTGTTAGTGGGTGCACTATATTAACGTGTAACAGCCATTGCGTATTGGATTAACTTAATACTTTTTAAAACATAATAAGCATTTTAACTATAAATCCTATACATGTATTTTGCTTTTCGTTTACAATACATTTTACACGCTTTCATAGATTAACCTATTTATATAACACACACACACACGCGCATACAGGTATATATATACATGCATATATAAGGGATATATATATATATATATATACATATATATATATATATATATATATATATATATATATATATATATACATATATATATATATATATATATATATATATATATATATATATATATATATATATATATATACATATATATGTATATATATATATGTATGTATATATATATACACACATATATATATATATATAAACACACACACACATATATATGCATATATATATATATATATATATATATATATATATATATATATATATATATATATATATATATATATATATATATATATATATATATATATATATATATAACATCAAAATATATATAAAAATTCAAAAAATGCTTTATTCATCCCTGATATAAATATTTATATATATTTATATGTATATATATATATATATATATATATATATATATATATATATATATATATATATATATATATATATATATATATATATATATATATATATATATATATATATATATATATATATATATATATATGTATATATATATCCCTGATATATATATAGCATGTTTTTTGAACGTTATGAGATTGTTGTATGACTTTTTAAATTTATCAATGAATATAGATTTAATTTAAAATAATGAAAAAAATATTTCGACATGAGTATAGAGATCACACTTGATTATTTAAATAAATTTAATGTACTTTATCAATTTTTTTTAAATGTTCAATGAAATTATGTTCAATAAATTAAACAACAAGTATGTCGAACGAACTATACAAGTATAACAAAGAATGAAAGTTAAGTGAAATTAAAATCATAATATAAAATTATTTATCTAATTTTTAATTCGTATTTTTTGAAATCCTCTAGTTTTTATTTTTTTATTGGTAGATTATTAAAAAATTTATTTAAAAAGCTCTTGAGGATTTTTTATTATAATCCCACCATTGGAATCAGAGCCAACAAACAGTTTTTATTATAAGAAGTTTCACGCATTGTTTTACTGCTTGAATATAAAATGGGAAGTCCCAATCGGACGTTTAAGCGAAGTTTTGTTTTAGTCACTCATCTTAACGTTTCTTGACTTTTTAAACCTTCTGTAAAGCAATTTCCTGAACCTGTATTCTATTACCTGATTAAACCTGTTTTTCAAAAACAATATGTCCGTAAAGCAAATAAAAAAGTATTTTGCTCTCAATAAATCGGTCAAAAAAGTATTTTGCTGTCAAGTAATTGGTCTATTATTTTAAATATCAAAAAATGGTGACAATTTTAAATCTTAAATTTCATTTTTTTTTTCTCCGTTTGTTATGTATTTACATTTTTTCTAAGGAACCAAACAATGGCTTACAACTTTACAAAAAAAACACAAGCATTTTATATTCCTTTGTTGGATTTTTCAACTATAGGTACAAAACTCTATATACAGGTGTTGTTCATCTTGAATGTTCACCTTCGCATTCAGCAATACTAGATTTAATAGCCAAACTTATATCAGTCAATTTTGCTTAAGACTATGTGGCTAATTTCTGAAATCTCTCACTCATTACTGACAAATTTTGTTATTGCATTTATTTGGCTGTGTGCTATGTGTCTGCTATTAGTGTCTGACCACTAAACAATTTTTGACCCTTTCGCTTCTTTATCTAACCTTTTAGAAAAAATGCTGGAAGACTATTTTGTTTAGATCCATATGAAAAACCTTCCGTCTTAATAAAGATTCCAAACCCTCTATCTTAGTAGTCATTTTTTCATGTTTTTCAACCGTGTTATAATATTAATTTTCCACCCCATGTTAGCCGTAACGCAACCATATCCAAATACGCCACCATAATAAAACGAAAATCCAATTTTATATTTTTAATATGACATAATGTTACTAATAATGTTTTTAGCAGACCCAGAAAAGAGTGAAACATAAGTAACGCACGCGGAATTTGATTTTATAAGGCAGTCGGAGGTAGTTCGACTGCCTAAGAAACAATGTATTGAAGTATTTTGCTTGAACCATTTAAATGGGTAAAAACTACTACAAAAGCCACTTAATTATACAAGAAGTCTGAAGTAGTCGCAGGAATGCACGTTAAAAGCATATCATTAAATTTGTATTTATACTCATCATTGTTTATCCAGTTATCATTCGCCCTTAGAATGATGACCTTCGCCCTTAGAATGATGACCGTTTAAGTACACTGCGTTTCCAATTACATTGACTGATGTTATTTCGCTTTCATGATGTATATTAACTTGTTGTAAAAATAAACTAACTAAAATTAATTAAAAATATCTCGTAATTTTCGACATCAAACATGATGCATGATGGTATTTAGAACTCTTCTTTTTTTTTATCACGCTTGAAAAGATATCATAAGAATGCATTAACTGTCGTGATAATTTTTTATTTGCGACGTTAACTACGATGCAAAGAGTACAGGTTCTATTTTATTTTTTATTTACAATTTTTTGCATCTTTAAACAATAAGTAAAATAATTTTTTATTAAAATGTTTTTTTTTTATCTATTTTGATTATTTAGTAAAATTCCCATACTTTGTTCTACACAAATAGTTCCTAGTTACTTGTTTATAGAATTTATTTAATTTAATTCTATTTATTACAAAAAGAATAAAAAAATTAAATGTTTATTCAAATACTCAAGTGTGACGACTTATCAGATTGTAAAATATTAAATATCTTTTTTTTTCTCTCTCTTTTTTTCTTTGCGTGTGTATGTATATAAGTATGTATGTATGTATGTATGTATGTATATATATATATATATATATATATATATATATATATATATATATATATATATATATATATATATATATATATATATATATATATATATATATATATATGCATATATATATATATATATATATATATATATATATATGTTTTTATAAACATACACACGGACATAAACACACACACTCATACACACACGTACTCGCACAAAAAAATAACTAGTATTATCAGTATTGTTATTATTTTTCCTATTACATTTATTAATATCATTTTTGCTATTGCCGTTGTTGTTATATGAACCCATAATTTGTTTTTGTAAAGTTAGCAATGGTTTTTTGGAGTATATAAACATTTGTAATATGTTTATATATTTAAATAAATTGATGTATGTTACATGCTAGCAAGTACTTTATATAAAAAAGAATAACAAATATATAACAAAATATCAGAATAGCTTACCATATTCGCTTATATTTGTTGCAAACGTCAAGTTTATAACCAAGCAACCTACAGCAAAATTTTGCAACTATGTTTAACAAAGTATTCAGGATTTTAACACTTTTTTAAATATAAACAGAGAAAAACTAACCTATGTTGACAAATAAAAATATATTTTGCATTTCACTATTTGTTAAATGATATTTCATGTTAGTTTACGCCAAAGTGTAATTTCTTATTTAATTGGATGGCTGCTTGCATGCTTTTTTATATTGTTCAGTAAAGAATGTAAGTAACGCCTTCTCAATCTTATGAATGAAATGAGTGTATATCCTAACTGGGGTGACTTTGTGTAGGTAATAATTATAGTTCAATTTTTAAATAAAAATCAAGTGCGGATAAACATGTATAAAAATAGATTTTTCTTCTATTGCGTTATATTAAAAAATATATATAAAGAACGTAATGTATAATAATGTAAAGATCTCAAACGATCAATTTATAAAGGTTGTGCCTCTATATTTGTGATAAAAGCTGGTATCACTTCAAAACTAATCGGTTTTAGTTGTGAAAAGCTTTTATGTTTTTTAATAGTTGCAATATCAGCATAATTTTAACGAATCAGTCACTAAATGTAAATGAAAATGTTTTAGACAAACACATTTATGTTTTTTTCCAAGTTGGACATGACAGAATGACAGAAAAAATTGTAATGCTATTAGAGGCTTGCAAAATAATTACTTAACATTATCTCACAATTGAGATAAAAGCATAGGTGTTCGTCACTCTCTGCATTATTTTATAATACTAGGAAAAATAAAAGGGATACTAAAATAACAACGTATTAATAAAAGACAAAAAACTTTGTTAAGCTTACTTGTTAATAACTAATCAGAGTATTTAAATGAGTTTGCGTGTTGATGAGTGGAGAGGTGTGTGAGTGTGTGTGTGTGTGTGTGTGTGTGTGTGTGTGCGAGTCTGTGTGCGTGCGTGAGCGCAAAAGCACGTGTGTGCGAGTAAAAAAAATCCAACAAATTTCAATTTAGTGTAAGTTTAATGTTCCAAATTATATTATTGTTAAAGCATTAATTGTTTTTCACATTATTAAAAAATACTTTTATTGTCGAAGTTGCATTATTATAACTATTCTTTGTCTTAATATTATTGTTATTATTAACTGCATTTTAAGTGTTAATAATTGCATTATTATTACTACTAACTGCGATATATCATAATTGTGTTATTATTTTTATGATTGAAATAATATTGTTGTTATTATTTTCATTGTTGCTGTTGATAACATGGCTAACAATGTTATTTATTGACAAAAAAAATTTTCTGGGTAAAAAAAAGTTTTTTTGGGTGCCTAAAGATCCAAATACACAACTTAATCTTTTTCTACAAATCATAGCAAACCTAATGGTAGTATTTTACAATCCTTTTTTTTATCGCAGATATTTTGAAACACTGAAAAGACGTTTCTGACGACAAGAGATTTGAAGTTTGTTATCAATTAATGTAAAAGATTCATTATCTTTCGTCACACTAAAATTCATACTATCTTTTTTCAAGCAGAGTTATATTATACTTAGTGACAGTTAGAACAATAATAAAACATTAAAACTACTATTTTATATAAAAAGTCAGATAATACATTAAAACGTTATACAAAATGTATGCTGTGATTACATTATTTGTAATTGCAGTATTGTATTCGTATCAAAGTCGTAGCTGTGTAAAATATAAAATTAAAACGTTGCATTATTTTCATTACCAATGTTAATTATGTTTTAGTTTTTAAACGCATTTAATTTTCATGAATTATTTCTAAATTTTATTTCTAAAGTAGTAGGAAATTTTAGGTGTTTACGCATCTAGTTTTATTTTTTTTAATTTTTTTTTAAGCACGAAGTTTGTGTTTGTAAAAAATTTTTTATATATTTTATGTATACAAAGTTATAATGACTTATGGTGTTAATGGCGATTACTGATCGCGAGGTAAGGATCATATTACATACTAATCTAGTTTTTTTATAATTTTTCCTTTATTTTATAACAAAAGATAATAAGATATTGTTTAGGACCAAATTTAGGCATTGGGAATTTGTTCCATGAAATAGAGGTGTCAAAAACACATCCTGTTTGTGCAGGTAGCCAACCATGACGAAGTAACTTTGTTTGCACCTTATAAGTGTTCTAAAGTTCTGATAAACTGATCAATGATTGGTAGAAAAATGTCTATTCAAAATTTCACCGATTTTCTCTGAATCTGTTTCATTTGTATATTATGAGGTTTATCAACTGGATGAATTTGTACGTTAAGTTAGAGTTGTCTTCTCTCAACAAGTTCTATTTTTCCAGCTTTTTCCGCGTCTTCTTTCTTGAACTCCTCAAAGCATTCTTGTTTGTACTCAACAAATGTTTTCGGATATTTATAGATGTAACAGTCAAGCTAAGATCCAGTTTGGAATCCTGCAACATCTTGCTGTTTGTATTGATTCTCTCTAAAGTTTCATCCCAGAAGACGGAATAAATACCTGCAACAATCGATCTAAAAGTCCACGTCCTTTAACTTTTCTGCCAATAAGTTTCCGTTATTTGTAATTTTGTTCAGATTTTTGTAAACAGTTAACATCAGCAACAAGAAGTTAATGCAATTTTGAATTTCAAAAAAGTCGATTTACATCCCAGGAATCTAGCAAAACTAGGATCTTGGAATGTAACTCTTACAAAAAAAATAAATTAACTTTCTGTTTTGTTTTTTCAAGCAACATCTTGTTGTGGTAATAAAATTTGAACTTTTGATTTTATTTTATTATTTGAAAAAATGAGTATTAGTATTAGTAAAGATAAAATTTTATTATATACTTTACGTTTTAATTTTTTACTTTTTATATACAATAGTATAAGTAAAGATAAAATAGTTGAAATTAATTTTTTAAAAAAAGTTTAATTATAGTCTAATTTTAATTGTTTTAGTTTAAAATATATAATTTATATATTGTTGCTGAAAACAAAACTGTTCATTTAAATAATATGACTTGCAGCAATAAAAAAAGAGAAATAGCATTTGTTTTTACGAATAAAAGTAATGAAAGCCCAATATTTTGTCTAGTACAAAATATTGGGCTTTCATTTTTCTTTAGATATTTCCATCTTATGTTTGACTCTATTATTTCGAGGAATACGCTGCTACTAATGATTTCGTCATTTTACGTGTTAAGCTAAATTTAAGAAGATCATTATCTAAAAAATCAAAACGCGTAGAAAACCTTCACACTTATAAAACATTAATGTTTTTTTACATTTGACACATTGAATACTCCATTTATTGCTAACCCAGTGGGCACCGAACCTAAAAAAGACGTCTTTTTAACGTTCAAAAGACGTCCAAAACGTTCAAAAGACATTCAAAAGACGTCTAAAACGTGGATAAGACGTTTAAAAGACGTCTTATTTTCGTCCGTGCCCACTGGGAAGTAAGTTGAAAAGTGATTTCTCTTTTAATTAGTTTACATTTTACTTCTGTTAAGTATAACAACGACAACTTTTAGTATTAAAAAGATGTGTTAAGATTTTTAAATGAATTTTTTTAAGTTTTAGATTTTAAAAAATAAACCTTCAAATTTATGTTTTGTTTTTTTAATTATAAATTTTTAATGAAGTTACATGCTTTCATGATCAAAATGTTTTAATACTTAAATGTTTGACAATCTAAATTTCTGATGTCTAAACTGTTAAAAGATCTAAATGATACTTAAATGTTTAAATGGCCTAATTGTTTTGATATTGTAGTTGAGTCAGTACTAACTGGAAAACCTTTGCCATTCAATAACCTTTGCAAAACAGTAATCTTTGCAACACAGTCCCCTTAACAAAACAGTAACCTGACTATGGGAAACATTTACTGTTAAAGTTAGATTGTTTTATTGAAAGGAGTATTCAATTACTTTAATATGCTGATTTAAATTAATTTGCATCGATCTATGTTTTCAACTTCTTTGTTTCATACTAATGCAAAAAAATTGTTTACACATTTCTGATTAAATTGAGACGCTAAAATATAAAAGAAACCATTAATTATTATTAGGAGACCATTCTTAATAATAATTAATGTTTTCAAAGTTGTTGGGTTTTTTTAAATACTGTCTTGGAACACATTCCATATTAAATGCGCTGCCGGATTTAAGTAAATATATACGCATTTTTAGTCGAGTTCGCTGGCATTGAACAGCATGAGCAAATTTTTGACGCCTCAAAGTTCAAAAAACGTCTTTACTACGCGTAAATGAAGTATTATATTACGAAAGAGCTGTATTAAAGTTTATTGGATTGCATTAAAAAGCATTATTATTGCGCAGCATTTTGCGGCAATTTTTTTATGGAATAGGAACAATCATCAATCATAAAATTTCATTAAAAAAATAAATAATATATATTTAAACGTAAATTAAACTACATTTACACAAACATAAAAATATTTTAATTATTTTTACCAGCAAATACAGAAAATTAAAATGTAATTTAATTAACAATTAAGTTTTTTTTAGTTTTTTATTTTTTATTTTTTTAGTTTTTTTGATAACACCATCAAGTTAATGGCATTTTAATTCAGTTTTTTGGCGAGCGATTTATTTGATATCGGCGGTTAAAAAGATTATGCACTTAAAGAATAATTTTTAATTTTTTTTTTTTTATGTTTTTTTATTGTACATATTAATCTTGTTCTGTAGTCAAACTTTAGAAATATGTCGCACGAGTTTTTAATTTTAACTTGTAGATTAAGTGGAACTATAACTTTTTAACGATCAAACTGAAGCAGAAAACATGGATGCACAAAAAATTATTTGGAAAAATAATTTTGAAAAAAACATACAAAATGAGTAATACTGAAAGTAACTTTGATAAGCTCGTTGATAAACTGTTTGAAGAACTATCCTTGACTAATGACTAATTGTCTATTATAAATGGCTATTAATTGACATTAATGACTGTTATGTAACTGTTATAATAGTAATTTTGTTATTGTACCCTTTTTATATCTTGAGTTTTGCTTGTGGAACAGTATTGGTATTAAAATTAATTTGTGAGTAAAGCCACCCGCTTGGCCATACCATATTGTTCATTTGGTTAAAATTAAAAAAAAAAACACCTAAAAACCAATCAATTTTTTTGAATATGAAATAAACCAAACTAAACTAAACCAATCAAAAAAGCTTGAAAAAACTAAGC